CAAATCACTCCATTCGAAAGCCAATGACTCTGTATATTTTTCATTAAATGGAGAAAAATCCAACAGGAAAACGCGATCTTTGGCATCACGAACTACATCAAATACATCTGCAATACAAAATACAAAAAAAAAAGTTTCATCAGTCTAGCTCGTCATGTTTCATGTGAAAATCCAAAAATAAATGAAATAAATATATGGATGGCACTCACAATCATAAAGTGGAAACTTTGGTTTGATATGTTCTTTGAAAGTACTGACAATATCATTGACGATATTAACACGTTGTGTGCAAATATATTCATGATACTGTGGCCAATCTCTTGGCGAAATGCCAATCAGTCGTTTGTTCTGCACAAAACAGCGAAACTCAGTGCCCGGATGAATGTCGTGCCATTTTTTGAATATCAAATATTGGCTATTTTCCATGGATTGATTTATGCTGCTGTCACTGCTGTCAGTGTCACTGCTACTACAAGCCTCGGCCAATGGTTCCAAATCGAAAATTGGTAAATTGTGACATGACAAATCCTCCTTGCAAATGCCAGACGCTTTCAACAATTGATAAACATCGATGATATCTTTGCAGCACATTGTCTGGCCCGCGGTTATCCAAAATGCATCTTTCGGGCTATTCCAATTGGTTTTCACGAATACCGATCCGTCAAGTCGTGACAATGCATTTGCTAGTGTTTCACTAAATTCTGGAAATTGCGGTTGCTGAAATATAATATAATGTTATCTATGTGTCATATGCTTCTATTTTGATCATTCAATTTACTTACTATTACATCGTCGTCATCGTCTTCATTGTCAGCTGCTGTGGCTGCAGTGTCTGGTCCAAATGCATTCTCATTATCATCATCATTACTGTAGCATTCTTTTGGTAATATAATTATTTCATCGAGCAAATACTGTACGATTTCTTTTGGCAATGGAATGCATATCGATTCGAATGTAATTTTTCGAAATTTTTTATACCAATTTGTATAAGCGCACGCCCGTAAATCGACACATTCTTTGATCTCTTGATTTGTTATCTGCATTACAATTTTCCAATTGAATTTCGATTTCAAAAACAACGACTGTAAAATATTCTTGTTGTTATATTCACTACTGTCGCAAATCGCATGTTGCGTGCAATGCTTTGACAGTTGACAGTTTAACACTGTGTGTGCCATGAACAACGTCCTCTATTGGATGATTTTCAGTATCAACTCTGTTTGAAACATTCAATTGGATTGCTTTTTTTGAATTTTTGAATTTTGTTCTCATTTTTCTGAATTTGGAATGACGAATTTGGAATTGTTTGTAATTTGAACAAATTGTGAGTGTTTTACATATGAAACAGTCAAAAGAATTTCAAAAAATTGACCTCTGAATGCGCAAGATGGCTGTTTTATGCTCTGTCTCTACCTAGAGTTGATCAGAGTAAAAGAATGGAAAAAATTGAAATTAATCAATGCATAATGGAACGTAATGAAACGTAATGGAAAATGGAAAAGTAATCGAAGGAATGGATCAGGAATTGTAGAGTAATGGAATAGTAATTTTTAAGTAAGTATACCTAGGTCTCTACTTTATTCTTATTTCGATGTTTTGAAGAAAATGAATTTGGCGAAAATGATCAACAATAATATTTTAGCTAGGAGAAGGATAGATATAATCAATGAAGGTAATTGTGTAAGTATAAAAAAACATTTCGTAAATTGTAAAATTCCAAATTTTTATTTGCGTATTTCGAAAAAATGCATTTCAATGTCTCATGTTCCTTTTGAAAATTATATTTTAATATCAATTGCATTGATGATGATTTGACAGTTATGAAACCGATCATATTTATTGTTAATTCACTGGTTCCAAATGTGTTTCTCGAGATGCCATGAATGTAACGTTGATTTTGTGCTCAGCTAATTCGCCCACGAAAGAAACTTCAAACTCAGTTGTATTTTTTACTCCAAACAAATCTAATGTGTCGGTAAACAATTTGGGTTTGACTTTCTCATGACAGTCTGGAATTGAATTAAATTAAATTTATTGATTGACTTTTTAAAAAAGGGGATTTTTTTTCACTTAACCCCCAGACTGTTTTATTTACCTGTTTTTCTTTCTGATGGGAAATTAACTTTCCTATTTCCATTTTGGTTTTTCATATTGGTATAATTTATTTGTAGGTAATAATCGAAATCTGAAACCCTTCCCCTGAGAGCAGATCTGAAGTGCAATAGGTTCAATATATCGGTAACATCTTTGATTTGCCCAAAGAAATAATTATTCACACTGCATTTGAAACCTGACTGTTCGTTTGCTAAAAAATAAAAAATAATTTAGTGCTATATTTTTACGTTGTATTTTAATTTTTTGGACATGCAATTATATTTTTTTTACCCAAAAGTTCATTTTCAATATAGCACTGGTTCTGTAATTTCATTGAAATTGATATTTCGCATTGATACTGATTATGTAAGCTCTTGTGTTTCAAGCTAAAATCGGTTGTGTATCTTGGGACAAAAGTCGTCATAAAATATTTTAATGACTGATACATAATTTTTGCTTGGAGTATCTGTAACAAGACATAAATATTCAAATTACTCATATAATTTTTTACGAATTAAATAGTGTGTAACACCTAATTAAATAGAGCACAAAATAATAGAGATAACTTTCACTCGGATGCTGCGTATGCTGGACATAACAATGGTCTCATTGTTTGAAAGGTTTAACATTTTAAATCATTTCAAAACAATAACACTATTGCTATGTCGAGTATACGCAGCTTCCGAGCAAAGAGCTGCGTAAAAAAGCAGCTACTTATATATCCCTTTAGCAATAGCTGATAAAGATAGCTAGCTAGCAACATTGTATGCTTTCACCTGATGATCTTTGATTGATTTCGCTTGATTCTCCAGGTTTATAAAATTGAATAGGAAAGCGTGTTTCGTAGTTCCCAATATAGCCTTCAAACTCTATCCCTCCTATCGATTTTGCACGAAGTTTTTGTACGAAATCGGGAATCATGTTGCTAGAGAACATGTTCCTAGAAACTGTTTCGTCCGTTTCGCCACTTGAAGCATCTCTTTCTGAGAATGATTCATGTTGGCTAAGGGGACATTCCTGAGCCAATATGAACATAATTGAACTTAAACAAAAAAAGCACAGTAGAATAAAAGAACTCATTATAACGTTTATAATTGAAAAATTGAATCCTATTCGATGAAAGTTTATTCATATACTAATTTGATGTATTCGTTCAAAACATTTTTTAGCTTATATTTCATCAATAAAATACACAATAACTACAAAAACATCAATTTTGAAACGAATGGAAATGTGCAAACTATTCAGTTTTAGTTAGTATTGTACGAATATTTTCTACCAAAGTCCAATTGATTCAACACGTTGAATAAAAAAAACAATAGCATTATAAAAACAAACTGTCTATCAAACGTAAAAACTTATTTGAAATAACTCTTTAAAGTTTTTCTCCACCGTGAGAAATTTTGGCTATTTACATGAATTCATACATTTGCACTTCATACATGCATAATACAAAGAAATTATAA